ATATATATATATATAAATTAATCAATAAATTACGAACGTATTGATATAGAATTCATATCTCAAAATGATAATAATGTCTAAAATTTAATTGTTATTCAAATATTTTTTTTTTCTTTCTGAATTTAATGTTTTTCGATTGTACATTTGTACCACGTCATGGTACTTAACGTAATTTATCCAAAATCATAATGTGAAACCATTAAATACGCGGCTATATTTAAATAATATATAATCGGAAATATATCTATATATACAAATGTAAGGTCATGATGCCTAATGAATTTACGTTTCAGGTGTCTGTATTCGTCGGACCGGTGTTTATGGTGCTCTTGTCCGTGTTTGGTTTCGCAATACGATTTACGGACATACCCGCCATCTATGTGTGGCTTCACTATTTCAGTTTTGTACGAGGATCGTTCCAGAGTCTCGTGTACACGCTGTACGGCTTCAGCAGGGGCGTCTTGCCGTGCTCCGACGAGATGTACTGTCACTACAAGAACCCCATAAAGTTTCTCACCGAAATGGAATTCGCCCAGGTGAACATCTATCCCGAATTTTTCTACATATGTTTCTTTTTCCTGTGCACTTACGTGTTGACTACAACGGTCATATGGTACAGGCTGAACAAGCGGTAGATAATATTATGACATAAAAACCAACGATTAGATTGATGTGCCTTAAACYGCAGATAATCATTACACCTATATGTGTATATATTATTTTAAATTACTTGGTAAAACGTTTTATTTGATATGTGTTATGTGTATATAGTGTACGATGATGATTAATATATTAATGTTTTTATTATAATATGTATAATAATAATACATATTTTATAAATTACAGATATGTGTATACTGTATAGTATAATATTACATAATAGGCTTCTATTGATATAATTATTATTGTWATGTACAATACAAAGATAAATTATTGTGATAACTGATAATACTTGAGGTTTATATTGTTTACCCTTGGTATGTTTGTTACAATGACGTTGCTCTGTATTATAAGTACCTATATATATATAGAGTAACACTCATCTCGTAATTAAGTTCCTAGACAATTGTTTTATTTTGTTTTCTTATAAGAAAATGTTTTATTTAGGAACGTACTTATGGCATTTTTTTTTTCGTTTGTCACAAATACGTTAAGTCTTTAAATACCGTTTGATGATATACTTGTTATAATTGTAATGTTTTTTTTTTTTACTCGCCGTCTATTTTTATAATACACACTATTATTAAGTTTTATGTCAAAGCGTTTGTTGATGTTTCTACTCGTATACATATACGTATATTAATATTATGTCCTTCGAGTAAAATGTRACTAGCCGATGGACTCGATAGTATGATCATTATTCATTATGCATGATTATTTGCAGTGAACCAGCGCAACTTTATTTACCTATATATTTTATCCTACTTCAGTATTTGTTGAGATAATCGATTTCAAAGACTTAACACAATGCTAAATATAATATTACAATAATATGTATTTTGCAATCAAATTTTATAACTTGGACACCACATTTACTCTTAAGGCTACCTGGCTACACATTGTAATTTATAAAACRTACACAAATATTCATCATGACGTGCATATTTGATAATTTTCTCGATACCTAACATAACTTTTATCATACCTAAAAAAATCAATCTTTATACTCAAAACAAAGATATTTTTTAGTTATCATACATCAATGTTCTTCCCGATGATATGACAATATCAGCTGTCGAGATGATTTTAATACATCATTATTATAATAATAATATCTCAACATTCTCAACGTATGTCGAGTTCTCGCCATAGASACCGCACTCAAACGTAAAGAGGTTTGTAGTGGGTCACGTGTATAATTTAGCAGGTGCGCGTCTTACAATATTATTATTTCGCAAAAAAAAAACACTTGACAACAAAAAAACCTTCGGTTTTGRCCGTTTTCGAAACGTCCAGGTTACGTGTATAATATGATTGACGGGCTGCAATTTTATTTTCAAGTTGTTTTATTATTTTTATGGAGAAACTAAAGCCACGCTAATCACGCGCRTACGTTGCAGAGACGGTGTTCTGTTTATTTTTTTATTTTTATAATCTGGTTCAATACAATGAAAATACATCCTTATGCGGCTGCACTTATTTCAAAGGATTTAATGCAATTTATTTTATAGAAATATTAATTCATTTGTCTTACAAAAATAAAAATCAGTTTAAAACTAAATTCAAAAATATTGTATTAATATCTATCGAATTACATTATATTCGAAATGAATGGACATTTTAAAAAGTATATTATGTTTATTGCATGAAACAAAACAATGTTAAATAAAACATATAAAACATATAAAACTATTTACATATTACAAGATATACAACACAGAAAGTACCTCATGGCTTATTGTATTGTAAACTATATAAAATAATTGAAACATAACTGCAACGTTATCTCATTGTCATAACACATAACTAAGTCATAATTTATAAATTCTAAAACATAAMTTATAATATCTTAACAMATTTTAAAACTAATACATGTTTTATGTTTATTATTATTAGGATTATAAAATTTTGACGAAAATAATTCACATATTTTTATTTTTTTCATCATATTTAAATGTTTATTTAATATCTGAAAAACGAAACTACTTTTGTTCTTTTCTAAATTTAATATATTTTATAACTCGCATGGGAAATGAGCATTTTATTATTATGTACTATAACACATAAATAACGACAACAATTTTTACGGGGTATTGTATAGGCAATTTAAATGATCACTTTAGATGGTTGTATAATATTATTTAATATCTCATAGTAGTTCAACTATAGTTCCAATGGTAATATGGTGATCTGTTAGGTTTTAGTGGTGTTTACGAAACGCCAAAGAATCATATTATGTATACTTTGTAGTAATTCATATTTTTATGTGTTATTATAATTTAAAATCATTAAAAAAAAGTTAAKAAATCTGGTAAGCCGAGGCCCAAAAACGAAACCGTAATTTTTTTAAGTGAATATTTTATAGGCGACCGCGAACCGTTGAACGCAGATAGTTAAACCCAAACTCTCGCCTATTGTATAGTCTTATATATACGTACTTATATTTTATATAATAATTATTTATATTTAGTATGTTTCTTGTTTACCTTGGTATTATTTTTGCACTGGYGGTGCAGCGTATATGCAAGTGCGGCTTTACGGTCTGGTGCTTGTTATAGAACACATTTTTTTTTTTCATGTATGTTACTATTAGTAAATCTTTTTGAATCAGCRGCAGAGTGGCGCACCGGGATCACGGGAAAATTCCCGGTGGTGGCCTGGCAGCTAAATGGCCCGTAAAGTATAGATAGGAAAAATAACGTGAACAAAATGTAGAGTAATGAGAGAATATATATTTGATTTTACTTATCTATATCAAAMATGACGACGAAATCGAATTTAATTGATTATTTCTCTTAATATTTTTTAAAATCTGATAAGTGACAACCATTCGATACCAATTCGCTATGAAAGAAATTAGCTTAAGTGAAACCATATACCAAGCATTTTCAATATTTCGGATGATGACAAAAATAGTGATAAATAATAGTAAAATTGGAATGCACCGCCTGCAAGCAATGCGTCTGCGCACGCCTATGGACTCCTGCAGTGACGTATTTAGAGGGAGTTTGGGGGTGTTCACTCTCCAACCCCCCTCCCCCCCCAAGATTAATTTCCATATATACGCCAATGGACTCCGGTAGTTTGCAGTAACAGGCACATGTAAATTGCAGGTGTACGGCAACTACCRTATTTGTACTATTACAACGTTTGCATTTTATAATAGATCGATTAAACCATTTCCACCGTTTCCATTCTCGTATACACTTCTGGCGTGCGTACTGGCACGCACGTGTTTATTTATTAACACTATACCATGACTATGATATGGTACTGAAAAAACAAGCACTATAAATTAATAGTGAACATAAAATTATTTAAAACGATTGGTCAGAAATCCAAAAGTGGTTGCTTACCATATTTCTGAATGTATAGCTGTAATCGAAGCGTTTTATTCTCATCATCGCAGCAGTATTTGCGTGAATTATTTAACGTTTTCCAYTGCCTTAGAGACATAGGTCATAGACCATAGGGCGACGAGATAGTATGTTTTACGACAATAGTTATTTAACAATAGTTTCAGTTCTAACTTTTAAACATTGTTACACGATTAGTTAGTCAAACACCATATGGCGTTGTTTACATTTRACGTCCGCATCGAATAGTTGGGCTTCGAGTATTACAGCAGACACACGCTTGAAGTTGGTCGAAAGAAATCGGTTTTGTTTTCGATACGTTCTATAGTTTTGCGGGACTGCAGTTTTCATAGCATTTTGACACCGTCCGGTGATCAGAATTATTTAATAGCAGAGACGAGAAATATGAATTACCRTCGCCATCATATTCAAACATAATTACCTATCTAAGCTTATCCAGCGTCTAATACATTTTATTAGGTACGTCTTACAATACTCATTGTTTGGGCTCATTCTACACTTTATGTTCGATATATACTTCTTATTTCAATCGCCTGCCATATGGATTATAGATATATTGTGTATTCGAGATCGAGACTATAGAAAATTTGTTTAGAACACTTGGAAACGTAGAAAATCACTTTACGGGTAAGATATAAATTGTATTATATATACTTACAAAACAATACAGTTGGACACCTGAATCAATATTCGTTATTATTAATATGCCAAAGCATTAACAGCATATTGTATTTAGATAACCAAATACCAATAGTCAGAAACGATGAAACAAAAATAATAAATGATTTTAAGATTATAAAATTTAGGATCCACATAAATAAATAGAGTTTGTGTATCGCACTTGACTACTCTTAATTATATAATAGGTCGCGTAGATAATTACATTTAACAGTGCTTCTGAGTTTAATACTATGATAGGTACTAATATTATAGTTATTAGTTTGTATTAGTTGTTTATTAATAGATTATTATTATTAATATACCAAAAGATATTGTTTAWAAGTAAAAATGTTGTGTTTTGAATTTTATTTTATTTTTTTATTAAGGAAAAACAAGCCTCGATGACGAAACCATTGGCTTGTTTTACACAGGTACTTAAACTAAATTGTACAATTTAATATTTACAAGAATAATAGTATGTTTTGGATGGCTTCTTTTCGTGAGATGTGCAGGCGTGTAGTGTTTATGCCCAAGTGATTTATTTTGAATTTGATGTCTTTCYCATCACCTAGATATGTTTATGCCGTTACATCAATGATATTTTGATTCTAGCATCAAATAAAGCCAACATATATAAGTAGCAAACAATAWGCATCAACGACAAACCAGATAAAAGGCGTGGAACCATCTGTAACGCTACGTGTTTTTATTATAAGGAGTCTTATCGTTGAGTTAAATTTTTGAAAAGCTGATATATGTACCTTTAAGCGTCAGAAAATAATTATCACTGTAGTAATTATCACATTATATATATATCATATTTTAATTTGATTAAGAAAGATTAGTTGAAACTTTGCACTGTTTAGTGGTGAATGGTGATTGGTCGGGAAAGAGTTCAAAATATAAAAAGACGATATTGTATGCCGTGCAAATGAACAGTGCCGGTAACTGAAACTACAATAGTACCTAACATAACAACGGAAGAATTGTGAATTTGAAATTGTTTACAGACGTACAATATGTAGTCTTAATTTACTTAATCTTTTTTTGTTGCTTTTTATTTAAAATCTAGCTCAACAATTACAATAATTTACTTAATTAATAATTAGTAAATAATAAATATAATATTTTA